CCTCCTCCTCCTCCCCTCCTCCTCCTCCTCCTCCTCCTCCTCCTCCTCCTCCTCCTCCTCCTCCTCCTCCTCCTCCTCCTCCTCCTCCTCCTCCTCCTCCTCCTCCTCCTCCTCCTCCTCCTCCTCCTCCTCCTCCTCCTCTCTCCTCCTCCTCCTCCTCCTCCTCCTCCTCCTCCTCCTCCTCCTCCTCCTCCTCCTCCTCCTCCTCCTCCTCCTCCTCCTCCTCCTCCTCCTCCTCCTCCTCCTCCTCCTCTCTCTCTGCCACTCCTGCTCGCCCTCCTCCTCCTCCTTCTTCTCATCCTCCCCCCTCGTCCTCCTTCGCTCCATTCTCCTCCCACGCCCTCCTCCTTATACTCATCCCACGCTTCATGTTCATGCTCCTATTCCTAGCCCTCCTCCCAGGTCCTTTTCCGAATGATCCCCCCTCTGCCATAAAAATCCGCCGACGTGCTTTTTCTATCCACGGCCCCAAGGACGTCCCGACCCCTTCCCCTGGGCCAATGTTCCGTGCCAGATCCACTTTTGATGTGGACGGGATCCGGGGACCGAAATCCCGGAAGAACGTCTGGACTGAACAAACATCATACCGTTGGAGATCTGCTGGGGTCGGCGGGGGGGTTGTCAAGGGGGTGCGGGGGTATGAGTGGATGCCCAGGTGGGTTATATATATGGCCTAACCTAGCATATAAGTGGGCTGCAACTGCAGGTGGGTTGTATCTGGCCTAACCTAGCATACAAGTGGGCTGCAACTGCCCTATGAGGATAAGGGGGTGAAGTAACTCAGCTAAGTGGGCGGAGCTCACTCAGCCCGGATCGCTAACCCCCTTGCGCCACTTGGGCAATTGCAGCCCAAAGCTAGGTTACAGAAGGCCAGAAATGACCCACGTTGGCATCCACTGACAGACCCCCTATTCCACTAGCAACCCCCGCGCCGATCCCAGCAGGGGTCCCGACCACTTTCATGGGATCAATGTTTCGTCCCAGGGCCACTTCTGGTCCCCAGGCTGAAATCGATGAAAAGCGCCCAGGATTGAACAAGAACGCCCAGATTGAACAGCGTCATATCGTCGGAGATCTGGGGAAAAAGACCATGAGGTCCGACGTTGCGAACAAATGACAGCATCGCGAAACATAACGTCCAGAGCCCTGGACCCACTGCTTCTGTGCACTTTGTCGAGCCGTATCGATGTCGCCGCGGCGTGGTCGCGGCGACTGCCGAGGTCGCCGTTGCGGCCCCGACGGCGACCGCCGCTGCGGTCGCGCTGGCGGCGGCCGCTACGCGGCATCTGCCATCTGGAAGGCGCGGCAGGTGGAGGTCGAGGGTGGAGCTAGAGGCCTGGAACCACGCGAGCGAGCTTCGCGCGCGCTCAGGTTCTAGCAAGTTCTGGCTGTAGTCTAAAGTGTTCGGCGACATATAGTGTCATACAGATCGTGCCCCTCAGGGAGCTCCAAGGAGGCCACACATGCAGGCTTGGGCTGGCGTCCTCCCCCTCATGGTGGCTCACCACTCAAAGGGATCGCGCCCCACGGGGATCCCCATCTACCTACCCAGGGACAAGGCTCGCATAGTGCCACGCCCCTCACGCAGATCGTGCCCAGCAAGCAACTCCATTTGCGGCACCAGGGTGGAGCTTCATAGCGTCGCCTAGCTTACTTCGGCATACCTCTTACATGGATCATGGCCCGCGGGGGGTTCCACGGGTGGGCCCAGAGGCAAGGTTTGCATGCCGCCCCCCCGCCTACTTCGGCACACCTCTCGCGCGGATCGGATCTCCTCCTATGGCCGCAGAGGCAGGGTTACCATTGCGTCCCCCCGCCATTTGTGGCACACCACATCACGCGGATCTTTCACACAAGGAGCGTCACCCAAATGCCCAGAGACACGGTTCATACAGCGCCCACCCTCCCATGACCGCACACCCATCACGCGAATCATGCCCCAGAAGGAGCTCCACCTATGGCACCAGTGGGTAGCTTCGCAGGGCGTCCCCTAGCCAATTTCGAAACATGCTTCGCAGGGGTCATGTGCGGAGGAGGTCTACCTGCTGCCTCAGTGGGCGTGTTCGCCCGGGGCATCCGAATTACTTGGCATAACCTTCACGCGGATCGTGCCCCACAAGGAGTTCACCGCACCTGTGCACGCGTGCTCCGCAGCAGCCCACTTTCCATATTGCCCTGCGGCGCGCAGTGTATGAAGAGAGACCCACGCCCTGCGTTACACATGACTGCACAAGGATGGGTCCGTCGCCAAGCCAAATGCTTGCTTATCTTCGACCTTTGGCCTATACCACCACTGTGCCGAAGTTCTGGGCCAGAGGATTCTCGAACATTCCAAGCAAGTTGGCATGCTTCTCGTCGCCTCGTGAAGCGACTTTTGGAGTTTCTTGGGGCCTTTTGGTGGCCGCTTGGAGCTCTTGGGGCCTGGGTCGGGGCCCCTGGGGGACTCTTGGGGCCCCGCTGGCGGCCCCGGAAGCCCACTGGGAGCGGAGGGCTCAAAATGTCAGTTGGAGTTCCCCCCCCCCCCTGGATCCCTCTTGGGGCCCTCTTGGGACGTCTTGGGCGCCTTTTGGACCGTCTTGGGGCTCTCCTGGGCCGTCCTAGGGCCTCTTGGGGCGAACTTTGAGGCTTCTTGGGTCGTTTTAGAAGCTATTATGACCTAAAGTGAGAATGTGCCAAATATGAACGTGTCCCTTTGGGAATGGAACAAGTGTTGGCCTCCTGGGGCCCTCTCGGGGCGCATCTTGGAGCTTTCTCAGGCCGTCGTCCGGGCCTCTTGAGCCGCCTTGAAAAAACATTCGCGCATCTGTGGCCCTGTCAGGCCGCTCTGATCGCATTTTGGTGGCCTCCGTGCCTGTGTGAGCGGCGGGGGAGTGGCCCGGGAGGCCCTGGGGATCAGAAGTGTCGCGTCCCCCCAAAAAATACGGGATGTTATCTCGGCCCTTCCCCTTTGCCTCCTGCGCCCCGACCGCCCTGCGGGCGATAGGGGGGGGAGATCAAATGCCCACCCTGACTGACCTCCAGCCTGTCACCTTGATCACATCTCTCTCTTTCTCTGCCTCTCTCTCTCTCTGTCCCTCTCTCTCTCTCTCCCTTTCTATCAGAGTCTCCCTCCACCACAATGATGATCGCAATGACGATGAGATCCCACTATCTATCTCTTCTTCGACCGACCTACCCGTAAATCTCACAGTCGCTTGGATTGGCCCGCCGCAGGCGCAGAAACAAATGAATTGATGGATTGGGTTGGAAGGGTTGGATTGGGTGGGGAAGAATAAGATGGGACAAGATGGGTTGGATAAGATATGATGGATGGGATGGGACAAGATGGATTGGATAAGAAAAGCTGGATTGGATAAGAAAGCCCTCCGCAGGCGCCGACACGAATGAATTCATGGATTGGGTTTGGGTTGGGTGGATTGGATTGGATGGGATGGATGGATTGGATAGGACCGGATGGGTTGGAGTGGAAGGGATGGATTGGATAAGATAAGATGGATTGGATTGGCCCACCGCAGTCGCAGAAACAAATGAATTGATGGATTGGGTTGGATGGATTGGATTGGGTGGGATAAGATAAGATGGGACAACATAAGATGGGTTGGGTAAGATATGATGGAATGGGTTGGACAAGGTGGATTGGATAATGTAAGCTGGATTGGACAAGAAAGCCCGCCGCAGGCGCCGACAACAATGAATTGATGGATTGGGTTGGGTGGATTTGATGGGATAAAATGGAATGGATAAGATAAGATGGGTTGGATGGGAACATATGGATTGGATCAGATAAGATGGATTGTACTGGCCCGCCGCAGGCGCAGAAACAAATGAATTGATGGATTGGGTCGGGTAGATTGGATTGGGCTGGATAAGATAAATTGAAACAAGATGGGTTTGATAATATTAGATGGATTGGGTTGGACGGATAAGATAAGCTGGATTGGATAAGGAAGCCCGCCGCAGGCGCCGACAAAAAATGGAACATTACATTAGCGACGTGCGTTAGCTCCAGGACGCCCGGGACACCCGGGACACCGCCTGGCCCAACTGAGACACCTCCCAGCCAACGGCGGACGGAAAACGGACCTTCGCTCCTACTGACGCCCGGGACACCCGGGACACCACCCGGCCCAACTGGGACACCTCCCAGCCATCGGCGGACGGGAACGGACTTTCGCTCCTACTTCGGCCCAGCTACAGGAGGATCACGCGCAGCTTCGCCTCGCCCGCACGCACGACACGAACACGAAACCGAAACCGATTTTCCTGTGGGGGGTCTCCGTTTCACTGCGATCTCACCCCCCAACCTCCGATTGCCGATGCATCGGCGACGTCGGCGGTGCATCGACGACGTCGGCGTGGAGCAAAACGGGCTCCACATCGGGCCGCATCGCCGATGCGGCGTGATCCTTCGGCGCCGTTTAATCGGACCGCATCTGGGAGGCGTCGACCCACGACCTCCACCTTCCGAGCCTTCCGCGCAGCAGGTGCCGCCGCGGCACGGCCGCGGCGACTGCCGAGACCGCCGCGCGCTGGCGGCGGCCACTGCGCGGCACCTGCCGTCCGGAAGGTGCGGGAATTAGGAAGCAACTACTGGGATGTTTTCGTCGGAAAGATTAAAGAGGATTGAACCCCATTTGGGAGCTATTACGCCGGAGTGGGCCTCGGATTAAGCGCGATTAAGCCAGATTCAACGGAATGAAACGGGATTCAGCGGGATGAAGCCAGATCAAGCCGGACTTCGGACCAGCGCAAAATCAGAATTTGACCTCCCAGGAGTTGCATCCCAACGGGAGGTGGGGGTCGAAGGGGGGGGATCTCAGGGGGAGGATCTCAGGGGGAGGATCTCGAGGGGGAGGATCTCATGGGTGAGGATCTCATGGGGGAGGATCTCGGGGGGAGGAGAGGTCAGGGAGGAGCCCCGGAAGACGACGACCCGCAGGCCAGCAGGCCGCCAGGGCGGCGTCCGGAACGCCGGGCCCCTGGGGGCGGCGCCGGCCTGCTCACGCCGGGCCCGCGGTGGCGACGGGGATGGGCAGCGGGGCCTCGGGGGTGATCGCCCCGTCGGACATGGGGAACACGTGCGTGTAGAGCTTGGGGGGGGAGGATCGAGGAGGATGCAGGAAAAGGAGGAAGATGACGAGGACGAGGAGGAGGAGGAAGAGAAGGAGGAGGAGGAGGAGGAGGAGGAGGAGGAGGAGGAGGAGGAGGAGGAGAAGGAAGAGGAGGAGGAATAGGAGGGGGACGGAAGAGGCAAGAGGGGGAGGAGGCCGGAGGAGCTGGTAGGAGGACGAAGACTCGTGTGACCAGAGGGCGTCTACGGAGGATTCTGGGGGGTCCCACGAACGGAGGAGGGGGTCTCCCCTGTCTCCTTATCCCTCTTACCCCTCCCTGCTTCCTCCTCATCTTCCTCCTCGTCCTTCCTCCTCATGATTTTTTCACAATCACCCTTCCACCTAGTTCATCCTGCTCCAATTTCCTCCTGGCCCTCCTTGATCTCTTCCTCCTTCTCCTTCTCCTCCTCCTCCCGCCTCCCTCCCTCTTGTTTACACTTCCTCTGGAGGCGGACGGGGAGGAGGGAAGGGGGGGTGGAAGCGGGGGAGGGATTGGACAGCGGAAGGGGGAAACGAGAGGAGGGGGGAATGGGAGAAAGTGGGGGGTGGCGGGTGGGGTTCGGGGGAGCAAGTGCGTACAGACCGGGAAGCTGACGTACACCAGTGCGATGAAGGCCGTCATGATATAACCGATGTGAACCGCCTTGTTGTGGAAACGCTTCGGGATCTCGAGCGCGGGCGCCGGGACGGCCTTCTGCCAGCCGAGGCACATGTGCGTGGCGAAGATAGCCACGGCGCTGATGTAGAAGAGGCACCAGCCGAGGGACTGGAAGACCTCGAACTCCATGCGGTAGATGTCGCGCACGCTCGCCTTGACGCAGTCGGCGTCGTGGACCCAGAAGAGGTTCAGCTTCAGCTCCAGCAGTGTGGCGACATTGATCAGGTACGGCGGCGGGCACAGCTCGAACGGCTGCGTGTCGCCGAAGCGGAACTGGAAGAGGTGGATGCTCATGAAGGTCAGCAACGTGACGCCCGAGATCGCGAGGTTGAGCTTGCCTGACGCGATGGTGTAGTTGATCGAGATGTCCCAGGTCCGCTTCAGGCCCACAGCCACGTGGAGCAGCGCGGCGAGCAAGATGTACTCTTCCACAATGTTGGCGTTGAAACCGAAGCCAGTCCAGTAGAGGCGGACATAGAAGTATCCGTATCCGTTGAAGTCGTCCGGGCCGAGGAACACGTGCAAGTTGCCGACCGCGTGGATGATGATGAAGATGAACATGAACATCGCGGAGCGCGTCAGGCCGATGCGGTCGTTGGTGAACTGGAAATTCTTCTGGCCGAAGATAGTGAAGAGGACCTCCTTCATGAATGCTATGACCATGTATACGAGAGCCTGGGGGGCATTTTAAGGGGGAGGAGGGGGAACCTCGACATGGAATCGGTAATACATCGCAGATAGATCGGCGATGCGCCCCTGATGCCGAATCCGCACGTGCCTGGGCCACCCATCAGCGATGAGCGGGCGATTGGGGGTCGACGCGTCCCCCCCTGATCCCATCCCCGTCCCCGGTGGTTTTCAAGCCGCAGCTCTGGCCTCCGAAGGCCGCCCGGGACGAGCCGGGCAGCCCTGGAGCGCCTCTGGCGAGGCGCAGCTGCTGGCGAGCATCCCGGGGCCGGAGAACCCCGACTGCCTTTCGGTCGGGCCTGTCCCCCTACAGGGGGATTTTGGGCGGAAAATTCGACATGCTCAAAAAATATTCTAACAATGTTCTAAAAGCGTCAAAAAATCGCCCCCAGACTATATTTGGACTATTTTTGAAACTCCCTCCTGTGGAGGGACAGGCCCGAGTTAAGACTACCTCGAACCTCGTTGCCCCTGATGAAGAATCTTCTCCTGGGATGGGTTCTGACCAGAGCTTCGAGGCAGCTCCGGCTGGGGCCACGAGGGCGCCCCAGGATGATCTCAAACGTGCGAAAATCGAACCTCGAACTCCTCCTTCTCCTCCTCCTCCTCCTCCTCCTCCTCCTCCTCCTCCTCCTCTGACTTTCGTTGCCCCTGCGAGCCCCGATGGGCCCCGGGACGCGCCCGTACTCGCCCATCCTCTTGTTGCGGTTGTCGTCCGCCAGCTTCCAGTCGCGCGCGCCGTGCTGGTCCGCCGCGGCCGCCTTCGCCGCCGGGGCGCCGGTCGCCGCCGCCGGGGCCGCGCCGCCCCCTGCACGGGTCGGAGGGCAGCGTTTTTGTGCACACGGGGAGCGGCACAGGGGCTGCTGAGGGGACGGGGGGGGTGATCCATGGATGCCTGGGCTTGTGAGGGTCCCAGGGCACACGGTTCGTCCCTGGCCTTCTCCCCCGGGGCTCACTCTGCGTCCGCGAAGCACCTTGGATGGTCCTGCAGGCCCGATGACGGGCACCCACCACTGGGATCGGCGGGGGAGTTGCTGAGGGGTTTGGGGGGATATCAGTGGCCCAGCCTGGCTTATGAGCGGGTTGCAGTTGCCCCAAAAAGGCTTCGGGTGGTCAGATAACTCCGCGACCAGTGGGTGGAGCCCACTTAGCCTGGATCGTTCATCCCCGAAGCCGCTTGGGACATTGTAACCCACTTATGAATCTAGGCTAGGCCAGACATAACCTACCTTCGCATCCAACTGATGACCCCCCGATTCCCTAAGTAACCCCCGTGCCGGTCACGGCGGCGAATGAGCCCACCTGGGGGTCCAGAAACGGTGCGGTGACAGGCTGCACGGTGACCGCGACATTCCCGAACGCCCCACCGCACCGTCCGCCACCGAACGGTTCTGGGACCCTGGAGGCCCCGGTCGCCCGAGACATCCTTGATAAACGACCCTAACTCGGGCGCTGGCAGAACTGGGTTTAGTGGGACCTGGTTTAGTGATGTCTTCTGGGACACGCCTCCCCGCCCCGTTCCACTAACCGGAACTGCCGTAACCCAAAAAAACACCACCTATAACGGCAAACCTGCTTTAGTGATTCTGGCCAATTCAAGGGCTCCGGGGCCCTACCACTAACAGGGCCCCCTTACCTGGGGTCCTGGCCATTTCCGACCTACTCCCGAGACCGTTCCATTACCCCGAGTCCCCGCTGACTCGCTACGCGGTGTGGTCACCGCGCCGCTTGGGTTGAGTCGGACGCGTCTCCCTACACAGGGCAATGTTGAGCGAACAAATAATTTAAACATATTCCAAAATGGTGAAAAAATTGAAAAAGTAATGCCCACACTATTCTTTACTATCTTTTAATACTCCTCCTGTAGAGGGGCGGTAACGCTTGGGGGGCAGTGCTGATCTTCCCGGCGGCCCCCCAGCGCCGGAGGCGCCCGTGCATCCCAGGAAGGAGAGTGCATCCAGGAAGGAGAGTGCGGCGAGCTGCACGCAGCAGCTGTCGCAGAGTTAGAGGTCAAAACATCGGATGTGTTGTTTTTTTTTGGGGGGGTGGGGAATGCCATCTCCCCCCCCCCAAAAAAAAACACCCCGACACGCGAAGTCGTTCAGTAGAAGCGCCCACAGAAGGGATCGAACAGGGCAGGGCTGTTCAGTAAACCCCCAGGGCCTTTTAGTAATCAGTAAACGCCGTTCATTTCTAATCGTGCTCATTTCTAATTGTGCTCGTTTCGAATTGTTCCTGGCCCCCTAGTGGCCAGGAAGAGGCTCAGAATAGAACAACAAGAAATGAAGGGATTTTGGCCCCCAAAAAACCAAAGAACTTTCGAAGATTCAGAAATTAACCATGTGTAAACGCCAGTTGTCCGGTCCGGGTGATTTTTTTCCTCCCTTGAAGATTCCTCCCCCTCTTTCCTCCGAGTTGACCTGCGCCCAGCACGCCGATGGCGGCGTCAGGAGCGTACTTCGGGATCACGTCCGGAGGGTGGATCATGTTGAACTCCTCCGTGGCGTCCTTCGGGCCGGGCGAAGAGGGGGGATAGCAAAGGGGGGGGGTGAGAATCAGCTCACGTAGCTGATTTTCCTGGCGCCTCCCGTCGCCGGGAGGCGCCCATGTATTGAGGAGTGGGCCCTGCAGCGAGGGCGAAACCAGCTGCACGCAGCAGATTTCGTAGCCCTCCTTTCCCTATCCCCCCCTTTCGTTCTCCCCTTTCCCTACCCCTTTCCCTATTCCCCTTTCCCTATCCCCCCTTTCCCTATCCCCTCCTTTCCCTATCCCCCCTTTCCCTATCCCCCCTGTCCCTATCCCCCCTATCCCCCCCTCCCTATCCCCCCCTAGTCCCCCTTTCCCTATACCCCCTCCCTATCCCCCTTTCCCTATCCGCCTTTTCCTCCCTTGAGTCCTTCCCGGCGAACGTGAGGATGGCCAGCTCGCCGCCAGGGTGCTGGCTCAGGAACGAGGTGACGTCGAGCACCTCGCCTGGAGGAACAGAGCAACGGCGTCGAGCACAGATCAGAAACAAGACATCCTTCGACATGCTTCTCTAAAGACATCCTTCGAGGAACAGTCGAAGGATGTCTTTAGTGGGGCAAAAAATGGCATAAACATAAAAACTCGGACGTCCGCGCTGATTTCTCGGATCCGCGCTGGACCCCCCTGCCTCCGGCGCCGCCCCTGGCGCGCTCCGCGCGCCGGGGAGGGGGGTCCAGCGCGAATCCGAGAAATCCGCGCGGGCCTCCGAGTTTTCATGTTTATGCCACTTGTTGCCCCCCTACAGAAATCCTTCGACATGTTCTGGGGCCAGGCCCGCCCCACGATAAGGCAAAACTCGCAGTCACAGCTTGAGAGCCCACGAGTTCCATTGTGAGGTCCGCGCGGTGCTCCAGAGGTTTATGTTTGTGCCGCTGTTTGAGGGGCAACGTAAGGGGAGGAGCAAGGGGGGAACCGTCGACCTGGAATCGACGCCAGATTGCCGATAGATCGGCGGTAGGCACCCGATAGGGAATCCGCACGTTCCTTGGCGGGATGGACTATCAAGCACCTGCAGATGCGGGACGATGTATCCCCCCCTTCACCTATCCCCCCGAATGTCGCCCTTCTTTTCTCTTCTCCGGTCGCCAGCCACGACGACCCAGCAGTCGGTCTTGCTGGTGTGCTTGGCCACTTCCTCCATGGAGTAGCCCTTGACGCCGCCCTTGGCGGCGGACGCGGCGCCGCCCTTCGCGGCCGCCGCCGTGCCCATGCCGTCCTCGTAGGAGCCGCCCGCGTTCTTGGACGACGTCACCTCGCCGGTGAGGCCACCGCCGGAGAGGTCCTCTCGGAGGAGGGCCGGTGGAGATCACGTGCGGCCCTCCCTGGCGTTTTCGCCGTCCTTTCTAAAAGCCTCCCCGAGGCTGCTCGTGGCCACGGCGGGGCCCTCCTCGAACAACTAGGGCTCCCAACTTCGCGCTTCGCGCTGCGCGAAGCGCGAATAACTTCGCGCTCTCGCGCCGCCCCCCCAGAGGGAGAAGAGGAGGACGAGGAGGAGGGGGAGAAGGAACGAGGACCGCGAAGCGCGAAGCGCGAATAACTTCGCGCCCTCGAGGGAGCCCTTGGAACAACGGGGCCGGGGTAGGATGGACCCCAGGAGGAGCCCGAGGGCCAAGCTTGGACAGATCTGGGCCAGCAGAGGGCTCCCAAGGGTCCGAGGGTCGGCGGTGGACAACCTTCCCTTATCAAACCTCCCTTTAGTGAAAACGGCCTGGTACCGAAACCGACGGACCTGGGCCCGCCAAACTGACGGCCGCGACGCCCTCTCGCGAACCGAAAACGGCCAATTCCTGAATCGACGTGTCAGGGTACGAGGTCTGTCCATCCCCGAGAGGGGGTGGGGTCGGAGGATCGCGCCGCATCGCCAAAGCATCGCTGATGCATCGGCGATGCGTCGGCGACGTCGGCGCTGCATCGGCGCCGTCGGCGTGGACAAAAGACAGGCTGCACATCGAGCCGCATCGCCCATGCATCGGCGATGCGGCGCGGTCTTCTGACCCCATCTGCTCGGATCCCACCTGTACTACGAAAAGAACCGTGTCTTACGCGAGACGACGTGGCGACCTCACGCCTCGGCTAACGTGGGCCGCCAGCGTGGCACACAGCTTGGAGAAGAGGGCGCTTACGCTAGGCCTTACGCGGGCAACTTACGCGCGAATGTCCGCACAGTCGAACCCATGTTCTGCGTCGCTCATCATCTGGGAGAGCCGCCGTTGTCTCATCCTCCTCCAGTCCTTGAGGCTCACGGGCTTGCAGTCCTCGCCAAGCATGTACTTGGCCGCCGCGAGGCCGGCCACACGGCCGAACACCACACAATCGAGCAGCGAATTGCCGCCCAAGCGGTTGTTGCCGTGCACGCCGCCAGCGACCTCGCCGGCCGCGTACAGCCCAGGGATGGCCTTACCGTTGGCGCCGATGCAGGCGGAGTCCACGTCGATCTCGAGGCCGCCCATGCAGTAGTGGATCACTGGCGTGATGATGGCCACGTAGAAGGGCTCGCTCTTCACTGCAGGGCCGTCGATGACATTATGGTAGAACTTCTTCCCGGAACCCGTCTTGCCGCTCGCCTCGTCCCAAGACTTGCCGCTGGGGTAGGCCGGGAACGAGCCGCCATCTGGATCCTTTTCGGTTTTCTTGGCGGCGGCGTAATGTGCCGTGTGTGTTTCCTCCAGCACGGAAAGAGGAACGCCCATGTCCTTGGCGAGCGCCTCGCCGCTCTCGTAAAACTTCATGACTCCCCGGCCAGTATAATGCTTACAATGCCAGGCGATCTCAGCAGACGCGGCCTTGTTCAAGCAGAGCCTGAAGGGCGGCTTGTTCTTCCACATCTCGCCGGTGACGTAGTCGCGGCGTCCAAGCTCGTTCGCGAAGCGCTTGCCGTTCGCATCCAGCACGAGGCCGCCAACACCACGGAGAGCCTCGGCGGCCAAGAACTTGATTTTGGCGTCGGGGTCGTCTGGCTTTACAAGGCCAGTGGGGTGAACCTGCACCCATTCGAGATCGATAGACTTGGCCCCGATTGCCTCGCCCATCTTGATGCCGTCGCCAGTGCAGTGCTCGCCGTTGGTGGTCGGCAGGTGCATCAGGTCGGGGCGGTACTGAGCCAGGAGGGAATTGCTGGTAAAGTCCGCGCCGAAGCCGCCGGTGGCGAGGATGACGGGCCCCATCTCGGAGAAGACCTGGCCGCCCTTCTCGTAGGTGCAGCCCACGCAGGCGCCACCGCTGGTGAGCAGCTTGGTTACCTTCGCCTTAGTGATGATGCGCGCCTTGTCCGATCTCTCGGCGATCTTTTCGACCATCTGGATCAGGGCGTAGGTGATGGTCATCCCGGGAAAGCGCTCGGCGCCTCGGTGGGTGCGCGGCGCAGAATGACCGCCGAGGCGGGCGACCAGGGACAGGTCGAGGTTGAACGCCTCCACCAGCCAGTCGACATCGGCCCCGCTATTGCCGCACAGGATTTTGACGAGCTCGGGCTTCTTGGCGCCACCCTTGAGAGTGTCGTTCGTGAACAGGGTGATGGTGTCATTGATGCCCTTGTCCTTCTGCGTCTTGGTCTCTGCGCCGTTGATGCCGCTAGTGGCCTTGGTGGAGTTTCCCCCGCAGAAGGAGGACTTGTCCAACAACACAACCTTACCGTTGTTTTCAAGCACCGTGTTGGCAGCAGACATGCCGCCCAAGCCGCCGCCGACAACGATGGCCTGCCCAGTCGGGAAATTAACAGCCATGATTCGCGGAGCCGGCTCTCGAAGGGGCTGTAGACAGAACTGCGACACCCTCGAGAACCAAAAAGGCTTCGGCTTGAGCCAAAGGCTGCGCAGCCAAGCAATCCACGCGCAGTTCGCACATAATGCTTGCTGCGCAACTATTCCATCATCTCTAATTCCTGTTCTGATCCTCGTCCTCCTACTCCTCCTGCTCCTGCCCCCTTCCTCGTCCTCCTCCTTGTGCTCCAACTCCAATTCTCCTCCCTCTTCCATCTTTTTGCTGCCGCCATTCCGCAAGACTGATCCCAAAACCGTGTCGCGAGCAACGCCCGACTAGTCTTCCGAGGCACGCCCAGCCAATGCGACGACGGGACTCCTCGAGTGCAGACAATAAGCGCGGGGACATGAGCGACCCCAGAAACCCTGGACAACAAAATTGGGCGCCCGAGTTATCCCGGGTAACTCGGGTCCGGGGTACCGCGGGTTTGGTTTCCCGAAAAACGAACCCGATTTAGCCCTGACCCGAATTACCCCTGATGATTTGGGGCTCTGGACGCCCGGGTTATCCGGGGTAACTCGGGCCCGGGGTAACTCGGGTTCGGAATCCCGAAAAGCGAACCCGAGTTAGCCCTGACCCGAATTACCCCTGATGATTCGGGGCTCTGACATACTCTTGACATCTCCTGGGGTGGCTGGTGTTGCTTCCGCCGCCTTCCGCCGGCTTTCGCTGGCGAGGGCGCACTCGTTATTTACGTCCACCGCCTTCCCCGCCGAGGCAGGAGAGGCCAACTGCTCCACTCCTCGATGGCGAGTCCCTGTCTGGAGCACCCAGGGCAGCTGGAAGCGGAGAAGGCACAGCGGCAGGAGGGGCAAGAGGACGAGGAAGAACGGGGGAAGTGCAGCAAGAGAACGGGGAGGAACATGAGCGGGAGCAGGAGGAGAGACAACACACAGGAGGACGAGCAGGAGCAGGGGAGGGATGAGGAGGGTGGACGAAAAAGATGAAGATAAGTGAACAGATGAACAGAAGACGCGAAGGAGGAGTGGTGAGAAGAGAAAGAGAAGACAGGATGGGGACCCTCTTCATCTGACGGCTTCTGCCATAGCTCAAGGCAGAGGAGGTCCTATGCCTCCCTCCTCCGCACCTCCCTGCCCATAGTCTAAACACACAAGCGGATAAACCTGGCGTGGCCACAATCAGGTGCCACCTCGTTCCCAAAGTAATGCCATGCACCGAAAGGCGATGCAACACACACACACACACGCACACCATCTCCAGGCAAAGCAATGCAATCCATTAACATGCAGTGCGAACCACGGCAACGAAACACAACACGCACCGAAGCAAACCCGCTTCATACCTCAACACGCTGCAATTCAAAGCAAGCGATGCGCTGCAAACCACTGCACGCCGATGCAACACCGTGCGGACCAATGCGCGCGACACAATGCCAAGTAATGCCAAGCACTGCACCAATGCCAGCAGGCAATGCGCAACAACGCAACGAAGAGCAACGCAATGAGCAACGGCAAGAATGTGCAACACAGTAATACAGCTGAAAACAACACAATGACCAATAACGAACACAACGCACGCCAATACATCTTAACATAACGCAGTCCAAGGCAAGACATGTCAAGACACGCCTATGGACCCCCCGGGAATCCATGTTGACCTCCCGGTGAACACCCAGGCAGCCCACAGGGACCCAGCGGGACGCCTCTCAATAACAACTTGTCCTCTTAGTTAGCAGGGTCAGGGCGCCGATGACAACGCCAACGAAGGACACCGTGCGAGGACACGCGCCAGGTGGCCCACGTTCAACTGAGACTCCCATCCTCCTCCACCTCCTCCTGTTGCGGTTTCTTCCTACTCGGTCCCCGCTTCGTCGTCATCACCACCACCAGCATCACCACAATCGTCATAGTCGCCGTCGTCACCATGCCCATCCCTTTCCATCCCCATCTCGCTTGTGCTGCTGCTGCTACGGGTCGTACATTGTCTGCTTCCCCCCCCCTCGACCTTGCGCGGTCGTTTCCTTCCCACGTGTTCGTCCTCCTTGCCCTCCACACCATCCCCCTCGTTATCCTCCCCCACGTCCTCCGTCTCAACCTCCCCTCCCGCCCTCTCCCCTGCTCTTTCCCATTCATCGCCATGCCCGTCACCCTCCTCCTTCTCCCCCACCCTCCTTCTCCTCCTCCTCCTCCTCCTCCTCCACAGTCTTAGCAACATCCTCCTCCTCCTCTTTCTTTCCTCGCCCCCCTCCTCCATAGGAGGCTGAGGAGGACGAGGAGGGCTGGTCGAGGGAGGGATAGTGCGAGGATGGGATGTGTGAGGAGGGCGAGGAGGGCCATCATGAGGAGGAATAGGAGGAGGAGGAGGAGGAGGAGAAGGAGGAGGATGAGGAGGGTAGGATGAGGAGGATGAGATCAGAAGGAGACGGGTGAGGAGAAGAAGCAGGAAGAAGATAGGCTGTGGGATGATGACGCGGAGGAGGAGGAGGAGGCTGAGGAGGAGGAGGAGGAGGTTCAGGAGCAAGAGGAGGAGGAGGAGGAGCGGCAGGACGAAGAGAAGGAGGACCAGGACGATGAGCAGGAGGAGGCGGAGGAGCAAGATAAGGCGAAGGAGGAGGAGGAGGAGGAGGAGGGCCAGTGTAAACCCACGAGGCATCAACGATGTTGCAATCAACCCTCCCTCCAAGTTCTCCGTTCATGAGGCCCTACGGGAATGTGTTTTCATTGCGCGGAAGGCCCCATTGAACGACAACCTTTTGACACTCCCCAATCGTGCCAACACGCAACTCCAGGGACTTCAGCGTCATGGGTCAATTTGGCTGTTGCGTCCTTACGGCCCTAGGCCGTGCCAGAGCACATGTTCTGGGACCGCGAATCAACGTGGCTGTTGAGTCCTGTCCACCCTAAGCCTTGCACGAACACTGTTCCTGGGACTTTGGACATGCCAACCCTTACAACTGTTGTACACTTTCAAAACGAAAAAGCGCGCGACATTACGGCGAGAGCCACACTTTGAACCAGAGCCGCCCTGAACCCAGGCTGCATCAACGATGCTGCAGTAGTCCCTCCAATCTCAAGTCCCCTCTTCAACAAACATCGGCAACTACTGTATTCCTTCCCACTGTGGGAGGCTCCCCCCTTGAATGGCAAGCGTCCGGTGGGCCTACCACTCAGGCGAGGCCCCGTTTTGTAAGGTCCGACCTTCATCCTTTTATACCTGGAAGGGACGTAAGAAAGTGAGATCACACACCCAACGGAACTGTCCAACGGTAACCCCGTCTTGAAACGGGTCGACCATTCACCCTTGAAATTGTTGCACGATGCCAAGCCTCTAGGCACAACAGCTGCGAACTCTAAAGCGAAAGCCTCATGGCACAACAAACATACAACGAGGACCTTTGCGCCAAATGATATGAGGACATCGCACGCGAAGATCGCATGTTGAAAACGTGTTAGTTTCTGCATTCCTAACTGGTGCAAGCTTGGAAGACAAACGATAACAGCGCGGAAGTGAGAACAAATTTTGAGAAGGGTGAATCCTTCATCCGTGTCGTTGTGAGAAGACTTAGCCTCTTGATAACACATTGCAAGGACGTCTCATGCGAAACGCCCAACCCTGGCTATGTACGGACACATATGGTGATGCGACAGTGTGTGGGGAGCCTTTAGCAAGGAACGGGGGAGGAGGAGTAATGAGGGGTGGAGGGGAAGGGGAAGAGGGGCAAGAACAGGAGGTGAGGAGGAGCAGGAGGACGAGGACAGACAATGAGCAGAAGCAGCAGAAGAGGGAATGACGGTGCCCGCTCCTCGGAGATGTCCATGAGCAGCGCCTCTTCCTCCTGGGCAGGGCAGAAAGCCATGGGGCCACAGGATCAGAGTTATCCTCGTCCTCAGCCGCCCTTCCCTTCCCTTCCCTTCCCTTCTCTTCCCCATCCTTGATCTTCCCTCCTCCCTCATCCCTTAATTCCTTTTCTCCCCCTCCTCCTCCTCTTAAGCCTCACGCGTATTCCCTCCTCCTGCTCCTCAACCTCCTCCTCATCCTCCCTACCATCATCCTCATGCTGGTCTCCCCCGTCCTCCCCTTTGAAGTCGCCCTCCTCCTGCAAACCCGAAGAAGACCCCATGCCAAGGTCGGAACGAAGCCAAGACGATCCAGAAAGCTCTGCCAGCATCTCAATGCCATCAGGAGGGGGAGCGGGGGAAGGAGGGCGGAGAGAGGAGGGTGGTTGCAGAAGGGTGGCAGAGGGATGAGAGGGAGGGTGCAGTGGGAGGAGGAGGATGAGGAGGAAGAGGAGGAGGACGAGGGCAGATCTCATGATGACGAGGAAGGCGACGGGGACAGCGAGGATGTCGATGAGAAGATTTAGGATAAGCATGATGATAAGCGGGGGAGGACGAGCGACAACGGAGGGGGGAAAGGACGGACGGGATGGGGGAGCAGAGGAGAGGGGATTGAAGGGAAAAGCAGGTGAGGGAGCAGGGGAGAGAGGGGACGAGGCGAATGCGGGGCAGAACTATGAAACAAATGGAGGACACTCCATCCCTCTCCCGCGCTCTCCTGTCCTCCCCCTCTAACTCCTCACGGCGCCCTGCCATCCTCCCTCCCTGAAGCACCAACGAGTGTGGAAGCGCCGACGCTAGTGAAAGGGATTTTAGGCAGCAACGCGCACATCCACGGGAAGGACGGCTGCAAACGGCGGTGTCGGCCACCCGTGAAATCCTGCAAACAACATTGCGCTGGTGGGCAAGGACGGAAGGAGCATCTCCTGGACCACGTCACGGGCTTCCTCCCTGTTGTTTTCCTCCTCACGTTTCTTCTCGCCATCCTTATGTCACTCCTCATCGCCATCATCAACATAATCATAATGTCGTCCGACGTCGTCATCCTCCGCAAGAATCGGGGAGACGTAAGACTCGGGTACGGGGGACTCGGGTTGGCCTGACGGGGCCGTCATGAAAATGACGAGACCCTGTCTGAAATTTGATGCGAGTTCCCGCTGCAAACATCCCACGAAAACTAGCCCGTCAAAATCCAAAATGGGCTCGTCAAAAAACGTCGGCAAACCCGAACTCCGACTTACTCTGAAGTCGGGCGTGTCCCCCTACTGGGGGATTTGCGAGGTTCACTTAAAAATGATCAACAAATGCTCCAACATGGTCAAGAAACAGTCCCCAGACTATTTTCTGACTATTTTTGAATATTCCTCCTGCAGAGGGACAGGCCCGATTTAAGCTTACTCGAGTCTTACGCTTCCACGAAAGAACCTCCTTTCCCGTTCTACTAGGGCCTGTTGTGCGGATGAGCGAACCGGCGCCCGACGGCGGGGATGCGGATCGGCACCGGCAGACATCGGCGCTGTCTGCCGCACTGGTGGGCAGCCCAGTGGACCTCGAACGGTGATGTGGGACGCACAGGGACATACTAATACTAGATGTCCTCCTTGGAGGCACGCGTCCGACCCGAACATATAGCACACCTATCTTGCAGTATATCGTTTCCCCAGCGGTTTGGCCAGAAAGCGCCCGCCACGACGCACATACTCTAAGATTTCTCGGTGCGCGCGTCGCCCCAGCGGGGGCGACGCACACATAGCATAAGTATGTTGGGGTGACGCCGATGATGTTACCGAGAAAACCACCCCGTAGAAATGGGAGAACCACGTGCCGCGGCAAAGAGGTGCGTACGGGCGCGTGAACCGGTTCAGGACCACGAGCACGAAACGCACGAGGAAGCTGGGCAAACGACGAACCATGTGCCGCAAAGCCGAGGTGGGCTGTCGCGAAGACGGAAGTCGCAACACCGCTCGCACATGCCGGAGAGACAGCTACGTCATTCGAAGCGGCACAAAACACATTGGCTGTCCTCGCCGTGCGCAGCTGGACGACGAGAAGGAGCAATGTAGGATGGGTGAGAGAAAGTGGAAATTACATTTTTCCTCGTCCACATCGGCAGCGACACACACACATATATATAGATATATTCACACACATTCACACACACACCCATTATGATCTTCAATCTGCCTCCCTCCCTCCCTCCCTCCCGAATGGTCTGGTGTTCGGGTCAGAACTCGGGTCTCCGCTGGCCGTTCGGGACGATCTGGGCATCCCTGAACGCTCTCGGCAAGGCGCGGCTGCTGGAGCGCCTCCCGAGGCAGGAAACCTTTGGGGACAGACGAAAACGTCGAAGACTGCGGCGAAGCTCACTTCCTGCCCCTTCCGCCCGCCCCGCCCTCCCTGTCCCTTCCCTCCTTCCCGGCCAAGGGGGAGGGCAGTCGAGGGTGGCAGGTGGAAGGGGCTACGCACGAAGGAGAGGCAGAGGGGGGAGAAGGCGGAAGAAGAAACGGACGTAGAAAAATAGGATGTGCAGGGAAGGCCACGGGTAGCACGGCTGGGTCCTGTGGGGTCATAGGGATGGGCATGTCCACGTCCAGAGACGTGAGCGCCTCCCGCCGACGGCGCCTGTGACGGCACAGTCCCTGGGGATCGCCCTTCCCCTCGTGCCTACAGCTTCTTTTCTTTCCTCAGCGTGCTCTGCCTCCTGCTTCCCCCTCCTCCTCGTCATCACGTTTCTTCTCCCGCTCGTTCCCCGATGCGTCTAAAATCATATATCCGTGTATGTGCGGGTGTGGGTCTGCAGTCTATCCCACGACCTGGCAACCGCTGCTCCCAATGCATCCCACAGCCAGCACATGGTCATAAACCTAGGCCCTGGTGCAGCCCCGAACAATGGGAGGGGTGGGTTGGCCATCCAACAATGTGAACCACCTCCCCTTCAGGCGGAGCACGAATTGAACCGTCTATAGCAACGAGCTTGAAACACGGGGTCTTGCGCCACTCCTGGACGCGGGTAGCCGACGCGGAACTCCGACAGAGCCAGCGCCCACGCCCATAGTCCGAGAGAGCGTGAACAAGCTCAAGCACAGACACGGCCCCTGGATCGGGCGGAGGCGGAGGAGGAAGCCCCTCGGATGCAGCAGTAACAGCGGAGACGGCATCATTTCACAACAGAAAGCTGGGTGTCACCAAACTGCGCCCCTGGCCCCCGGTTTACAACAACAGCGCCTCCTGCCTGATACATCCTCACAACTGATTCCCACATGGCGCTCTCGCGCGGGACATCCTCAACAATTATGCAGGAATCGCGCTCTCGCGTGGGACTTCCTCGCAATTGAATCAAAAGCCGCGCCCTCGACGCTTAGGAATTACGATCTCGCTGTGGATTTCCTTACGATGTACATGGGAATCGCGTTATTGCCTGAGACTTCCTCGCGATTCATGCAAAACGCACGCTTCAGCAACCCACCTTCTCGGCCTGGCCGCCTTGGCCCGCAGTCCCGACCCGCCCGCTGGAGTCTACCAGCCCGATCTGCCCGTCTGGTTCTGTCACGTGTTTTCTGCTCCTAACCCCCCTCCTGCTACCCTCTCTCGTGTTCCATCCTTCCTCCCCCTTGTCCCTTCCTTCCATCCGTCCTCGCTTCCCCTGCCTTAGGGGCTACACGAAATACCGTCGCAGGTAAGGAAGATATGCCCCAAAAGGGTACGATCGAAGACGAAGAGGGCGGGTAACGAGGGTTCGGGATATAAATGTTGAATGGCGCGCGAGCAGATTGTAGCAAACAAACTCAAAACGATTGTTGTTGTTGTATTCGTTGTTGGTGTTGATGTTGGTGTGTTCGTGTGTGTGCGTGTCCCCCTTCCATTTTCTGTCGTTGTAATTCCCCACCCGACAAGTTGGGGTTGTTAGATTACAAGAACAAGCCCCAACCCCACCCTGCATACCGCGGCCGCCAGACCCCAAATTGTCCCGATGATTCCCGAGAGTCCCGGGCGTTCCGCTTCGCGCCCTCGACGAACACGACAGAACACAACACGACGGATCAGAACGTGACAGAACAGAACAGATCATGACAGAACATGACGGAGCATAACATGACAAGATCATGATTCCACATATCATGCCATAACATCACATACCACACCATAGCAGTTCATGACAAAACAGAAGACGAAATCGTACAACATAGCAGAGCAGAGCCGATCATACCATAGCACACACATTGACATAACATATCGTATCATGACACAACATCACAAAACATATCATAACAGGCCATTGCGGAACATAGCATAGCAATTCCATGACAAAATGGACTATAACCGAACATCACATAGCATACCAGAGCAGACCATGACAGAACAGAAGTCGGCATACGACAACATAACATGCCAGAGCCGAGCATGACATAACATGCCTTAGCATACCATATCATACCATGACACAACATAACATTCCACATCGTGACACGAGAGCAGAGCATAGCGACGATGAACACCACAGAACACTACATGACACGCCATACCATGACAGAGCAGAACACGAGCATGGCAGACCATGCCAGAACATAACATAGCAAAGCCATGGCAGCATTGCCAAGCGAGAGCACGGCATGACATCACATTACCTACCAGGGCAGACCATGGCAGAGCAGAAGACGACAGCACATCACAACCATAACACACCTGGACAAACCATAGCATACCATGACATTTCATCAGATACCACATCATCATGATAGCCTGGCTGAAGTGACACCCGTGGTGATAATGATGCTTGTTGCGTTGTTGTTGTTGTTGTTGTTGCACTTTCGCTACTGAAGAATAATCATTGTCGTCCCCCCTTCCGGTGCACATGGTATTTTTCAATTGAAGTGCCCCTCCCGGCGCTCGCACTCTGTTTTTTATCAGGGAAAGTCGTCGTCCTCAAACTGTGTTGTTGGCCCCCGGATTGCAACAACAACGGCTCCCGCTTGAAACCCCCTCACAATTTAGTCATGACCCCCGCTCTCGCCCTAGACTTCCTCGCATTTTATTCAAGAGCTGCGCTCTCGCGAGGGACTTCCTTTTACTTTATTCAGGGATCGCTCTCCCGGCGCTCTGGAGTCGCGCTGTCGCTGGAGACTTGCTCGCAATTTTACTGTAAAGTCGTGCCCTTGCCTTGGAATCTGCCGCAATTTACACAAGCGCCGCGATCCCGACACTCAGGCACCCAGGAGTCCCTCTCACGCTTGGGACTCCCTCGCAAATTATTTAGCAATCGGGATCTCGCTGCCCTTCGTGGCGCCGTTGCAGCCCTTCGTGGTTCCCTCGCTGCCCTTCTTGGACCCGTTGCAAACCTTCGTGGCACCTTCGTTGCCCTTCGTGGCCCCGTTGCAGCCTTTCGTGGTTCCCTCGCTGCCCTTCGTGGCCCCGTTGCAGCCTGCAAGCCTTCGTGGCCCCCTCGCTGCCCTTCGTGGCCCCGTTGCAAGCACCCTCGCTGCCCTTCGCGGCCCCGTTGCACGCCTTCGTGGCCCCCTCGCTGCCCTTCGTGGCCCCGTTGCAGCCCTTCGTGGCGCCCTCGCTGCCTTTCGCGGCCCCGTTGCAACCCTTCGTGGCCCCCTCGCTGCCCTTCGTGGCGCCGTTGCAGCCCTTCGTGGCCCCCTTGCTGTCATTCGTGGCCCCGTAGCCCTTCGTGGCCCCCTCGCTGCCCTTCGTGGACCCGTGGCTGCCCTCAGTGGCCCCGTCCTTGTCCTCCGCGGCCCAATATATACACATGTCCTTCGTGGCCCCTGCTCGTTCGCGCCCGTCGTGGCCCTCCCGCTGGCCTTTGGGAGCCTTGCCTCCCCGCGGCGCGGCGTCCCCCACTTCGGGTTCGACGATGCCCGTCGGGAGAACGCGGCTCCATCGCGACGTCTTTTGCAACGGTCAGTTGCACCCCTCGTCGCCACATCCCCAGACTAGGAGAGCCCTCGTCGCCACGGCGGGACTCTCGGGGAGTCGGAGAACGCGGGGACGGAGGAAGGGGGAACTCTGGCACCGACGCGCGCCCCGGATGTCCCTCGTCGCCACGGCCGGAAAACGGTGCCCACCAGCACAATGGTGGGCAGCGGAACCTAGCAGAGCAACCCCGTCGGGGCGGTACGTGGCGTCCGTCCTTGCAGCCCGCCAGGTCAGCGGCGGTAGCCGGCGACTGGGTCATCGCCGACAAGCATCAGTACGTGAACCCACCGCCCGCCCCAGAGGCTCCTCGCTCCTCCTGAGGAGCGACGGACTTTGGCGGCTCCGGCACCGCGGGGTGCTCCAGCGCCAGTCTGCGAGGGGAGGCACCTTTGCCTACACGGCGTGAACTCCTGCTCCTCGTCAAAAATACCTGGGCCGCTTCCGTTCACCTCGGACCACCTGGGCGAGGGAAGGGAGCCCTGGTGGCCCGGGTCAGGAGGATGCAGCAAACAGGTGGTGAACCTGGGGCGGCCTGGAGCAGATTTTGCGCTCTGCGTGGCAGCGGCGCCCGCGACCCCAGCCCGCGCGACGCCGCTTTCCTCTGCTGGTTCCTCCGCCACGCCCCGTCACCCCTTGTGCTCCCACTTGCAGGATACAGCACCACACCTTCCTGCACCGATAAAGTGCCCCGACCTGGCCCAAGCTGTCCACCCCGGCAGTGGGGGCCGCCAGCTTCAGCCACAGTTTTCACTGGCCGCGGAGCGCTGCTTGCTGCCCACCCCGCCGGCGAGCGGCCGCCCTGGCCCTCCCCTTGGGCCACCCTGGCCACAGTTTTCGCCTGCCGCAGAGCTCCGGCTGCTGTCCACTTTGCAGCGGGCAGCCCCCCTTGGCCCCCCCGCAATTTGTTCTCCCTCCCCCCCATTGCCCGCTCTCCCTCCCTCCGTGCGCAGCCGTGGCGCCTGGGCTGCTGCCTGCAGCCACCGCACGTTCGGGATCCTGGGCCTGGTCTTGCCGCCTGTTCCCCCGCGCCGACCCGGCATTTTGCTGGATGCACTCCAACCTGGCCGCAGTTTCACTTGCCGCAGTTTGCCCAGCGCCCCCACCTGCCTGGGCGGCGCGCGGCCCGGCAGCCTTCACTTCGTGCTCTACGTCGTACGTCGGCGACTCGCTGCCTCGTCTTGCAGTGCCCGTGCCGGGCCCCGCCTCAGCAGGTGCACCGGCGCAGCGGCTCGGCTGCTGCGTCAGTCCCCGCCGGCGGGGCCGGCCGCGCCAGCCCACACAGGGAAGTGATCCGTCCGCCCTGGCTGACCCTCGCCTCGCCCCGCCCCTCTCTGCGGCCGCCCGTCCTGTCCCGTTTTCCCACTCTTGCATGCTGGCCAACTCGCTACAGCGGCGCCCTCGTTGAGTTAGATCCTTCCGCCAGCGCAGACGACCCCTTCCTAGCCGTCGGCGCAGTGTGTGTGAGTGCGTGCGTGCGTGCGTGCGTGCGTGCGCGCGCGCGTGCGTGCGTGCGTGCGTGCGTGCGTGCGTGCGTGTGTGTGTGTGTGTGTGTGAGTGTGTGTGTGTGTGTGTTCCCGCGGTGTCCACAACAGTGACACGCAAGAGGAGCGGGAATATCGAAGAGACGCAAGACTAGGGTTTGGGGGACTCGGTTTGGCCTGGTGGGCCGTCAAGAAAATGATGAGACCCAATCTGAAATTTGACGCGAGCTCCCGCTGCGGACATCCAACGAAAACTGGACCGTCACGATTCAAAAACAGGCCCGCCAAAAAGCGCGGGCAAACCCGAGATCCGACGAACTCGAGCGTTACACTGCCCCGAGAGGAGGGGCAAGGCAGCAGCAGGGCAGCGATAGCCTCCTCCTCCTCCTCCTCCTCCTCCTCCTCCTCCTCAGGAAAGGACCCCGGGACAGCAATGGCAGTACCAAGCGGCTCCGCGAGCAATGGCCGGGCAAGAGAGAGGCGGCACGCGGCTTGCCGGCGTGGCCTGCGCTCGAACACGGACGACGGGATCTCCGGCAGCCTGACCATGCCATTCTGGGCGAGGGGGGGGGGGACATTCTCAGATACACCTCCTGTACAGTCAGGGCGTTGACCTAAGGAACCCTGAATAAGGAACGAGGCCCCTTTTTTCCCATAAGTTAAACGTCGCTTTCTCATGGGAAACCCAAGGCAAACTGCAAAACAATCAAGGAACACCGAGCCCCTCGCCAACGAGAAGGGGTCCTCCTTCAGCGCCCCGACTGTGGAAGGGACAGGCCCGATGCAGTCCTGGCGAACCGTCGGGCCCTCGCGCCGCCTCCCACGGCGAAGGGCACGCCCCGGGCCCAGACGGCGAACCGCCTTCCGCGGCAGAAAAACTCCGCGCCCGTGCAGGGCGAATTCTCGGCGGCCACGTCACGGTGCCATCAGGGCACACTTTGGAGCGGCGTCGTCTCGCCATCGCTCGGACGTCCATCCCCCGTGCTTGTTTCGGTGTTCGCTGGGCTGTCCAAACTACTCCTGGATGGTCAAAAATCCCCGACGACATGTGATCTTAAGTCCAGGTGTTGTTCTTCGAGTTCCCCCCTTTTCCCCCCCATCTCTGATTAATTCAAGCTTCGCGCGGCCCGCTTAGTTTCGACCGACCGGAAGAGGTGCGCTCTCGACCCGCGGATCAAAAAAGTGTTTTTCTTCGATGTCGGCCTCCTCCTCCTCATCATCACCATCACCATCACCATCGCCATCCCTGTGCTTAGTCGGCCCAGGACACGGCAGGGCATTCTCACCATTTCCGAGCAAGTGCCGCTTGAGATTGGAAACGGTAGAAAAGCGGCGGCCCGAAGCGGCAAACAAAGGCAATGACAGACAAAGAACACGGCAACGACAACGTATTTGACGAGGGGGCGGAAACGACAAACAAAGGGCGACTGGAAACGGCAAGCGACTGCAATCGGCTGTGTAGCTTGATTCTGCAGCTGCGCATACGCATCCCCGCAAGTTGGTCCGAGTTGGAGCTGCCGTATCCGTTGTCGCAGTCGGTGCCGCTGCTGCTACTCCTCCCGAGCCGTCGGCGGGCCCTCCGATTCAGGCGCTCCTCTGCCGTCTCGGCAGGCGAATGGGAGAGCTCTCTTGGGGAGTCGGGCCCCCTCCCCTTCCCGTTCTGGGGAGGCATGGGCAGCCTCGGGGTCCGCGGGACGCTCGGAATTGATTCGGAAGCTGTTCGAATCCGTTTTTATTTATAAACAAAAAACGATGATCTGTTACAAAAGTCCACCTGGGAGTCGGGAGTGCTGAAAGAACGGCAAGTCGGGCTGGAGAGTCGGTACGCGACCCACCGCAAGCAGCAGCCGAAGACGAGGGCCTCGATGAGACCCTGGAACACACGATGGACATGGATTCGGAAAGCGGGATGCGTCTGAGCATGAAGGCGCAGACAGCAGTGGCAATGACGATTCAGCCGGACATGATGCCACCTCCAGCTCCTACTAGAACGGACACGACCGTGGACGATTTCGAAAGACCACCGCTCTCATGACCCTCCTCATTTCCTCCTCCTCCTCCCGTTGTTCTGGTGTTCTTCTCCGCAGCCGTGCCTGCCCACAAATGAACCTGGCGCCTGCCAGGCTGGCCCTTGGCACGGCTCCGATCGGCCCGGCACGCGGCGCGCCTCGAGGCTGCTCTCACAGCCCTCCGTGCTCTCCCTGCCCAGGGGCTTCTAGCGGACAGGGCAGCATTTAATACTTCGGATGTTTAAACAACATAAGTTTTTTTATACCTGATAAACCTATGAATAGATTTACGCATGAACTCATCGTTGTTTTTAATACTAAATCCACGCATTTTTGATACATGATCCGCACGCGGAGCATGCATTAACAACGGCACATGGAGTGGCTGCCAAAGGAGGCGGCGTGCGCGGCTGTCGTGGCCGCGGTGCGTGGCCAGCCACCCCCATGCTCAGAATCGGCGCCGGGCGAAAGGGGGGGATGGCAAAGGTGAAGGGGCCCCAGGACACAGAAATAAATACACACAAATGAAAGTATGCCCTACATTTTCCCATATTTTCTGGGTTTCTGTCTTCCCCCCCAATTCCCGAATTTCCAATATTTTCTAGGGAATCGAGGATTAATTGTGTATGTGTGTTTTTTCCTCTCCTGAAAAGGGGGGGGTTGAGAAACAGCTGGCGTAGCTGATTTTCCCGGCGCCTCCCGGCGCCTCCCGGCGCCGGGAGGCGCCCATGTGTCGAGGGATGGGCCCGGCGGCGGGGCCGAAGCCAGCTGCACGCAGCAGATTTCGCAACACCCCCCCTTTCCCATCCCCCCCCCTTTCGTCCGGCTCGGCAGAAGCAGGGTGTGGATGTGACCCAGGCTGGCGCGGTGCTCCGAGAAAGGCTCGCGCGCGGGGCTGGCTCAAGGTTGGGGCGTCGCGGTGCCGCCACTCCTTCGACGCTGCGTGCCGAGCTGCTGCGCAGAGGGCATCGGGACCCTGCGCAGCGTGCGGACAAGCTGCTTCAGTTCGACGGCGCGCCGCGTACCCTGAGGACGACGCCCTGACCCAGCAAGGCGTACTCGTGCGAGTCCCGATCGATTGTGGCAGGAGTGAAACCGAGTGCTGCG